AATGAAACTAATAAACTATTTATTTGAAATATCGAAACTGATAAATCCGAAATTCCATAACAAATAATTAAAAAATATAAACAAATAAATACGACAGATCATAATAATTTTCTAATGAATGACTGAATGAAATAAAATTTTAAGAAAAAAATGAATGAACGAAGGAATGAAAGAAGGAGAAAAACAACGAAAAAAAAATTAGTTAGAGACAAAGTTGAGCTAATGTGTATTAAACGCTTAATCCGTTAAAGCTAGGATGACATATATGATGACAGGTTTGTATAAATGTATGTATTGTATATGTATATACAAGTGTATGTGTACAAATAGTTGTATATGTTGGTAATAGACCATAATTTATAGAATATTGTACATATTTGTATGTGTATGTATATAGTATGTATATGTATATATGTATTTATGAGTGTATGTGTATGTATATACGCATCTATGAATTGTATATGTATATATACGTGCATGTGTACACATGTTTGTATGTGTATATAGTATGTATATATGTTTTTACGAGTGTATGTATATGTGTGTGTATATGTATGTACGTTTGTATACGTGTCTTTGTATGCATGTACGTTTATATACATGCATGTATTTTTTGTATAGTTTTGTGTATTTGTATCTTTTTGTTACTTTTTTACTAATTTGTATATCTGTTGGTTCCATTGTTTTCTGTTTAAATACAATGTATACATACCATACATATCATGTATATATACATACATTCATATCAAATACAAACATACTAATAAGCGTATTTATTCATATTTTTTGGTTTATCTAGTCTCTTTGGCATTTGAAAATCATAAATAAATTTTATTTTTCGTATTTAAATCTTCAATAATAATAATATTATTAACGTTTTGTTTAAAAGTGGTTTATTTCAATTTTTAAAGGACACACTAAGAAAGTGTTAAAAGCGCGTCAACCAATCAGAATGATGGAAGGAGGGGTTTGTATGTCGTTGACTGTCCAATCGGAGATGAGTAATCTGAATGCTGACAGTTCATTGGCTGGAAGTTTTTTGCCAGTGTGGAAAAATTGTTTGTTACAAACACGTTTCAAATTTATCAAAATATGTGTTAAAGTTATTATTATTTAATTATATTAATATAATTATAGTAAAAATTGTTCAATTGAAATATATTGTAAAAGAAAATAAATAATATATATAAAAATATATAATAAAAAATTATTTATTCATGACAATAATAAATAGTAGTAATATACAAAATAATGAATTTCCCGCCAAAAATAAAAATTTAAAAAAACTTTTCGTCTGTTATTTAAACGTTAACGCCTTGGTGTGTTTTTATGTTGTGCTATTATATTCCATGCATATACATTACTCATATACATACATGTATGTATGCATGTATGTATGTATGTATGTATGTATGTATGTATGTATGTGTGTATGTATGTATGTATGTATGTATGTATGTATGTATGTATGTATGTATGTATGTATGTATGTATGTATGTATGTATGTATGTATGTATGTTTGAGTGACCTAGTGGTAGTTTTAAGGAAGATAGTGAGAATGCAAGGGTTGTTCTGAGTTCTTACATAAATTTGAAGGGCTATCGAGGTTGAGATTCATTCTTTCATTCGTTCGTTCGTTCGTTCGTTCACTTGGTTGTTCATTCATTCATTCATTTATGCTCTTCTTCAATTGAATTGCTACTAAACTACTGTTAAAGAGCTCTGCTACTGTCAACAACAACAACAACAACAACAACTACTACAACAACAACAACAACAACTACAACAACAACAACTACAACAACAACATCAACAACAACTGCCACTACTTCTACAATTACTACTAGCAATTAAAATACTTATAGTTATTATAATAATAATAATAATAATAAAAATAATAGTAATAGTAATTTTACAAGTTGTCTTACATGCATATTTTTTCGTTTTCGTACTATCACTAAATTGCTGAACGAAGTAAAAGGTATTTGTGTCGCAAATTATAATTTAGAATACATTTTTTAATTATCATTATCATTATTATTATTGCTGTTGTTGTTTTTCTTATTCTTTTTCTTCTTCTTCTTACAATTGCCATTTTTGATATATGTTGTCTTTCTTGTATAAATATCATTATATATATTTTAATTTTGAAAAGCTGGATAACCGATAATATTATCTAGTATAGCATCATTGTCATTGTTCTCAATGTTTTAAAGATTTCAACAACAGCAACAACGACAACAACAACAACAATAATGTAGTTAAGTACACTAAGAAAAGGAAATGTATCTATATTTTTAACTTTCAATTCTAACTAAAAGTGAGCCAAAACAACACCATCAACAAGAACAACAGCCTCAACAACATCAACATCAACAACAACAACATCAACAACAATAACAATGATTGTGACATCATCAACAAATATGACGTCATCATTAACAACCTTCCCATCCAATCAGACATCTTAACGCAATGTCAAATTGAAGAACTCTAAAAAGTCGTCAATTGATAAAACAGCATTGGATAAAACAACAGAGAAATATTATAGAAGAAGTTTGTTGTGAGTTCAAATTAGTTATTAATTCAATTAAAATTTTTTATACACAAATTTATAAAAAATCAGTAAAAATTGATTTATGAAATTTAATAATTCTATCATTTTTTGACGACAATTTAAAGAACGTCATCATCGCTATCGTCATCTTTATATTTATCACCATCCTTATAGTTTTTATCATCATCATCATCGTCATCATCGTCATCATCATCGTCATCATCATCGTCATCATCATCGTCATCATCATCGTCATCATCATCGTCATCATCATCGTCATCATCTACGTCATCATCATCGTCACTCCATGAAACGTGTCAATGACATACCATGCGTTGGAAAGATGTAATCAAAAAAATGCATCACAATCTTGGTGATGGTGACGATGGTGACGATGATGATGATGGTGATGGTGACGATGGTGACGATGGTGACGATGATGTTGATAAAGATGATGACGATGGTGGGGATGATGATGATGTTGATAGTAATATAATAAGAATATAATCTATTCTATAGTTATGATGATGATGATATAGATTGATAAACAATAAAAATAATAACAATGCTGTATATCTGATGATGACGACGATGACGACGACAATGATGATGACTAGAATGACGTTTTTAATGACGTCATCATTACTATAGTAATGAATTTGCTGATTAAAATGTTTATGTTACCATGGAAACGATAATATCCGGTTCATATTTTCAATTTGATTTTGCGCTCATTTCCATAGCCATTTTGTTATTTATTTCTTTTAAAATTTTCTGTTCAACATATCAATTAACCAAAAAAAAACTTCAATCAATCAACCAATCAAACAATCAACCGTCCAATCGATCAACCAACCAATCAAACAATTAACCGTCCAATCAATCATCCAATCAATCAACCAACCAATCAAACATTCAACCGTCCAATCAATCATCCAATCAACCAACCAATCAAACATTCCATCATCCAATCAATCATCCAATCAATCAACCAACCAATCAAACAATTAACCGTCCAATCAATCATCCAATCAATCAACCAACCAATCAAACAATCAACTGTCCAATCAATCATCCAATCAATCAACCAACCAATTAAACAATCAACCATCCAATCAATCATCCAATCAATCAACCAACCAATCAAACATTCAACCATCCAATCAATCATCTTATCAATCAACCAACCAATCAAGCAATCAACCATCCAATCAATCATTCAATCAATTAACCAACCAATCAAACAACCAACCAATCAATCAAACAGTCAACCAGAAAATGAATCACATGGCATACAGTTATAACTCCTTCCACCATCCACAATACGGGGTAAGCGACGGGGGTATATTCCTCCCGTTGGCTGCCCCGATACCCCCTCCAATAGCTCCTCCACTACCCCCACCACCATCATCGTCAACGTCATCGTCACTGAATTTTGGTGGGTGTGACGTTTTGGGGAGGAATTCGCCCCTGAGTGCCTGGTACGGGTCTGCCGGCGGGGTGCTGGTTGGTTCCGATGCCAGGATTAGTTGTGAGTCTGTTTTTAGTGGTTATTTTTCGTTTTACTATTATACTATTACTTAATTTAACTACCACCACTACCACTACTACTACTACTACTACTACTACTACTACTACTACTACTACTACTACTACTACTACTACTACTACTGCTGGTACTACTACTACTACTACTACTACTACTACTACTACTACTACTACTACTACTGCTGCTGCTGCTACTACTAGTACTGCTACTACTACTAATGATAATAAAAATAATAACATTAAAAACAAACTACATAATAAAACAACAACATCAACATCAATGGCAACAACAACAGTAAACAGGTTGATGGGCGGGCAATCAGCGCACATCAACAACAACAACAATAGCGACGACAACGACGACAATAACAACAATAGCAACAACAACAACATCTGCAACAACAACACAATGACGTCACCGCAACAACATTTAAGCAACCTATCAACGCCATTTGGTATGGTCCTACACCAACAACAGCAATCCGAATCACAACAGCAGCAGCAACAGCAACAAAATACAAACAGTCATTTATCATCATTCACTCATCACAGTCATCATCATCCTCATCCGCCTCATCATCATTCTCATCATCACCATCCAACAACCACGACAACCCTTCATAATCCTCTAGCAAGATGGCAGCACCATATTCCATTCACTTTTTCCAGCCAGAGAAGAAGAAGGTAATGATGAAAATTGTGGTGGAAATGGTGATGGTGATGATAATGGTGATGACTGTGATGGCGGCGATGATGGTGATGATTGGGGTGATGATGGTTGTGTTGAAAACTAAACAAAAACAAATTTCATTGTGTAAAATTCGCATCTCGATTGTCAAAAATCCGAATTATCAATGTTACTTTTCTTTCTGATAATCTCTTGCACTTGAAATTAGAAGGATATTGTTCACGCAAGCGCAAATCTACGAACTAGAGAGGCGCTTCAAACAGCAAAAGTACCTTTCGGCACCCGAACGCGAACATCTATCTAATCTCATCGGACTTACGCCCACACAGGTTTTTAACAAACTATTATTATAGAAAAAAAGTTACAACAACACCATTAACAACAACAATAATAATAATAATAATAAATAACAACAACAATACTGGTTATAATAGTGTAATATTAAAATTATAAAATTAAAATTAAAAAACAACAAAATGACTCTAAACAAATTATTGACGATATAAAAACCGAAATTTTTCAAAATTGAGCGCTAAATAAATTATTAAAAAACAAATTATTTAAAAAACTATATTAAAATCTAAATAATATTGCTAAATATTATCATGATAAATAAATAATAATAACAAGATCAATGTGCAATCGTGCCCAGGTTAAAATCTGGTTCCAAAACCATCGGTACAAGACAAAAAAAGCATTGAAAGATCGTGATAAAGTTGACCAGAAGCCGTCTGTCTCTTTACTACACAGCAACAACAATTCTCGCAACAACAGCAACAACAAACAATCAACTGCAACAACAACAACAACTTCATCGGCGGCAGCAGCTACTACTGCTACTGGTGCTACAGTGACGACATCTGCCACTGTGGCCAATTCTAATATGAACAGTCAAAACTCGCCTAAAAAAGTCATCGTTCCTGTTTTGGTAAAAGATGGAAAACCTTACAATACCACCCCTAACAACAATAAAACCAACAATGGCAACAACAACCACAACAACAACAACAACAACAACAACAACGTTGCTACTGACAACAACAGCAGTAACATTAAAACGACAGCCGCACCATCAACACTACAAAACAACAGATGGTCAAAACAACAGCAACACCGACAAAACTTCAACAACAACACTAACAACTCTTCGGATTCTTCCAATAGTTCCTCAAGCAACATCGCCAACAACGACGATGAAGATGATGATGACGACGACGATGACAACAACACTAACAGTAGTACCAACAACAACAACTACACCCAACCACCATTCATACCGATGAATCCTCATACTCATCATCATCTTTTCAGTCCCAACAACAACAACAACATACCAGACCACAAGTTGCTTTTGTCTCCACGACCATTTGAAGAAACATCTTCATCGCCCCCGCCATCGTCATCTTCATCCTTGCGAGTCGATGTCTCGTCATTTTGCGGCAACAGCAACAACAACAACATCAGCAACAGCAACAACATCAGCAGCAACAACATCAGTGACAACGTCAACAAATCCACAGGACATCTGCAACATTTTCAACACTACCTCAACAACATCAACAACATAAACAGCAACAACACAAACATGAACAACAGCAATTTCTTCCCTCTTAACTTCAACACGCCTCCGCACATCTCTATGACGTCATCCTCATCCTACCACCAATCGTATCACCACCACCACCACAACTTCTACCCGCCACCACCACTACCGCCAACTTCATCATCAGCGCATTACATCAGAGACAATTACAGCCACCAAAATCTTCACCACCATCATCCTCGCTCGACTATCGAAGCTATGCTGCCATACCCTGGTTCGAATGCGATCTCAACCCTGGCTACTGAATCGCCTGTTTCTTCCGAATCTCCAATTGCTAGCACTGTTAAGAATTGTTTTTTTAATGGTTTGTCTTGGTGATGATGATGAAAAAGATGAAGATGATGATAATAATAATAATAATAAGATGATGTTGTTTTTGTTGTTGTTGTCGTTGCTGCTGCAGCTGCTGCTTATGATGATAAGGATGATGATGATGGCAACCATGATGATGATGATGATGATGTTGATGATGACGATGAAGATGATGATGAGATTGGTGACGATGACATGATGACGACGTAACTTAACAACACATTCTCGTCAAACACGATATCATGATCAACTTTTTTATGACATAATAATTAATTATCCTTATAATTATAAGTATTAGTTATGTTATTATTTTTATTATTATTATTGTATTTTTCAAATTAGTATATCTCAAAGTCTGTTAAGGTATTATACAAATTCACATAATAATACTGATTTTTGTGGTTTTTTACTTTACCCAGACTGAATTTTTTTTAAAAAGTATTTATGGTATTTTTGTATGTTCGTATGTATGTGTGCGTGTATGTACGTACGTGTGTGTGTGTGTATTTGGTGTGTGTGTGCGTGTTTGTGTATGTTTGTGTGTGTGTATTATACATAAACATATATCCATTTATGTATAGATGTATGTTTTTTTGTATGTGTGTGTGTATATGTGTGTGCTCGCGTGTGCTTGTCGTGTCTGCGCGTATGCTTGTCTGTAAATGTGTGTTTATTTGTGTGTTTTTATGTTTGTATGTTTACAAACCAAGTTATTTCAAGGTAAAAAATTGAACCGTTTTTTTTTTAATTTTGTTTATTTTTTTTTTAAAAACGAAAATCCAAAAAATATTTGCATTTATCTTAACAATAAACAACAAATAAATAAAAATGTATGTATGTATGTATGTATGTATGTATGTATGTATGTATGTATGTATGTATGTATGTATGTATGTATGTATGTATGTATGTATGTATGTATGTTAACATCAATAAAACATCAAAACAATTCTATTAAACTATGAATTGTTCAATGTTAGGCCTACAATTATTCAATGTGTGTTTGTGTGTGTCTGTGTGTGTTTGTCTGTGTGTCTGTTAGTGTGTGTTTGTGTGTGTATGTGTAGACAAAAAATACATACATACACACACACATACAACGTATACCACGGTGTACAAAATAAAAACATACAAGCAGCATGCAAACCACTTTTCTAGAAAACTAACATACTGTTTTCGTATATACACGCATACAACTAAACATTTACTACACAAACATACCGACCCACACACACATATATACATACACGCACAAATACGCACACACACACACATGCATGCACAGATTAATCACGTACAAGAAATACTAATACCTCGGAATAATACGCATCATTAAATGCCTCGCTCTGATTTGTCATTGAAGACCCAATTAGATTTCGTCAATTTGGCTATTGTATGTTGTGGTAGATAATGATGATGACTACAAAGATGAAATGGACGAATGAACAAACGAACGAACGAACAAACGAACGAACGAATGAATAAATGAATGAATGAATGAATGAACGAACGAACGAACAAACGAACGAACGAATGAATGAAAAAAAAGAACAATAAACAAACAAATAAATGAACGAATGATTTTTATATACATAAATTTTTGTATAAAAAAATAGAATAGTTAAACCCTTTAAACAAAACAAGCCGTCAACAATGAATTATAATACTATTGCTAATACTAATAGTATAACTAGTCTACTACTATTACTACTACTATAACTACTACTACTACCACTACTACTACTACAACAACAACAACTACTACTACTACAACAACTACTACTACAACTATACTACAACTATTACTACAACAGCTGTTAGACTTTTACGACTACAACAACTACTACTACTACCTCCACAACTACGACGAATACTGCCGAAGCTAAAAAAATGTTCTCCTCTTTTTTGAAAGCTCTCCAAAAGCAGCCAAAACACATGTAAACCCCCTTGTCACACACAAAGCCTCACACACAGACACACACACACACAGACACACAGACACACACACACATATATACATACATATATATACATGCAATATGTGTATGTATATACGTTTATGTATATACGAATATATATACATAGGCTGACGGCAAGTCACAGCAATTAAGATTTATAATTGGACACTCAAGTCTTATGACATTTAATTATGGTATAGGTGTATGGATGGAACTGTCTTCACCATCATTCACCCTCGCCATTTTTTCTCTCTCTCTCTCTCAATTTCACCCTCTCTCTTTCTCTTTCTTTCTCTCTCCTTCTCTCTCTCTCTCTCTCTCCCTCTCCTTTACCTTGTTCTCCATCCATGAGTTTTTGTAGGAGTTATTTTTGGTTAATTTTTTTTCTGCCACTATCTCACCTTCATAAATATCATCGTCAGATCATCATCAGATCGTCATCACCACTGCGTTCTGTGGTTTTTTAGTTACCCGTAGTCACGTTATCACATCATAGTTGTCGTCATCATCATCGTCGTCATTATCCAAACCAGCCAAATCAGCTGAACAAATTTAGGCAAGTATAGACATAATAACAATAATAATGATAATAATAAAATCAAGACAAAATAATAATAATAATAACTGTTTGATTCGAGTACCTAGGCATACATATACTATTTGCTAATTATTTACATACTGGTATGTAAACACACACACACACATAAATGTATATACAAAGAGAGAGAGAAAAAGAGAGAGAGAAAGAGAAAGAGAGAAAGAGAGAGAGAGAGAGAGAGAGAGAGAGTAGGAGAGATAGAGATACATGATGCACGTTAATGTAGTATTGTTATATACTTATATTGGCTAGTACTCACAAAGGTTTTCTAGAGTGCAATAGGAAGGTACTTGTTCTGCTATGTTTGTTTACTTTGTTATGTTTGTTTGTGTGTATGTTGTGTGTTTAGTATTGAACTGTTTTATATGGTATGCGTGTGTGTTTTTGTGTTTTTGTGTTTTTGTGTGTATGTGTTTTTGTTTTTGTGCTTATGTGTTTTTGCGTGCGTGTTGAAATGTGTGTAGAGACCTCGGGAGAAACAATGCAAATTTCACGACGGCAATGGAAGACAATCCATATTTTTCTTTCATGAGAAGAAAAGAACTTTAAATCGTGATATTGTTTGGTTTAATTTTATATTCGTTTTTTGTTTTTTTTTTTATTTTTTGAAAGAAACTTTTATCCCGGGACTGATTAACAATTAATCGCCATTGTTAGTTGTTATTTCTATAGATTTCAAAAAAGAAATCTACAGAGAAGGAACAATGGATTAAACGATAAAGAGATTAATTTTGTTACAATATATATCTATGTATCTATCTATCTAACTCAGTCCTATCATCAACTCTCTCTCTTTCTCTCTCTTTCACTCTATCTCTCTATCTTCTCTCTTTCCATTAATCTCTAAGTAGACTGCTAATCGCTAGAAAATAAAATTAAGGCCTTTAATTAGAATTCATTCATTTATCATTTATTTATTCATTTCTTTGTTTGTTCATTCATTCATTTATTCATTCACTCACTCATTCATTCACTCATTCATTCATCGGATAATGAAATTTGTAAAAAACAACTAGATTTTTCTAAAAATTGGAATTCAAAATTATGAAACATTAATAAAAAAATAATAAAAATAATTTATTATTATCACAATTTTATGTTGTTATCATTATTATTAATATTATAGGCAATTTTTATTATTTTATTAATTTATTATTATATTAAAATCGCATTTAATAAGTCTTATGAGTTTAAAATATGTTGTCCAATTTGAAAAAGCTTTTTCTGTCACTTTATCGGCGGAAAGGTAGGCTTAAAATTCTGAAATGAATTTTTAGGAAATAATAAAAAATAATTAATAATAATATCCTAGTGTAATCAAATAAATAATTGAATAATTAGTCAATTGAGTGTGTATAGTTAATTGAATCATTAGTTAATTGAATAATTAGATAATTGAATAATTAGTTAAGTTAATTGACTGCACCTTAGTCAAACAGTTCCGAACTATCCTATCAGTAGCAGACACGTGCGGAAGGAATATGGATGGTATGTTGCAGGCTGGTTCTGGCTTGGCATACGTAATAAAACTGCGAAATAACCAATAATTAGCATAATAATTATCATAATTAAATACTGTAGGGCTTTATAATTATAATATCCATAATTAATTTACTCTCTATCGCAAATTCTCTTCACCATATCGTCAATCTTCATGCGTTCCCGGCACTTTTCGACCGAGTCGTATTCACTTTCAGCTATCAAAGACAGTGACAGTGGCTTTGTTTTTTGCTGGTGGACCAGGTGGGGCAATTTAAATGGACCCTAGGTTTAAATAATATTGATAATCATTAATTTATTATAACAATAACTATGTGGTGTTAGCTTTATTGAGAATCTATTTTATTAATATTTGGTTGGTGTAAGTTTTTAAGTAAAATGCCGTGCAATTGAAATATGCCTCAAATTTGTGAGATTAATCAGTCGTTTGAGAAATATATTACTAGATAATTTTTTTAGCCGTTTACATGACCGAAAATGTAAAATATTAATGTATTATTAAGTTGTGTTAATAATATAAATACAATAAAAATTGTGTTACTAGGTGATAATTTACAGAAATTTGAACCTGAAGTTTCGGTGGCAAGTGTTGTGACTTCTGTTGGTACGGCATGGTTGATGAGATCGCGAAGTTGCTGACGGCTCTTTCTTTGTAGCGCCTGAACTTCGGACTAACTCTCACTTCTCTCAATTTGAATTCTAAGCAATCCGGTGCCAACTTTTGAGAAAAAAAAAAATCAATAAATAAAACATTTTTCTAACAAAAGAACAATTTCAAAATTAGAATCGAAACAATTTCCACCTCTTTAACTATAAAAAAAAAACATCGAGAATTAGCTCCGTAGTAATTGAACGAACTTTGTACGGGTTGTTGTATACTCCAGGGATTGATTGGGTTGACAAGAGGTAGTGGTTTTTTTCCACGTAATTTTGTAACAGTATGACGTCATCTCTCGCTATCTTCATCCTCATCTTTTCCTCCAGTTCCTGAGCTTTCTCAAATTGTTCCTGTCTATAGTTCACAAAATAAAATACTATCAAAATTTTATAAATTGATAAATTAATAGTAATAAAATCAATTTTCTTTTAAATATGAGATGAGAATGATAAAAAATACAACGAGGGAACCAACAAGATTGGTCGTCACGACCAGTTTATCACGTTAAACTGACCTGATAAGCGAATTCTTACGTTGAATCTCGTTCAAGTATTTCTTCCTCTCGGCAACATTAAATCTACATCTTCTTGAGTAATATCCCCGCCATATTTTCTGGATCTAAATTTTGAGAACTTATTTTCAGGACAAATATAAATATTAAAAAAATAATTAAAAAAAGAAAGTAAGGAAGACAGGATGGATGAAATGAATGAATGAATACGCACCTGAATGTCAACTTATAAGGCGAATAGATTGCAGAGATATGAGCGTAAGAAATTATGCTGTAAATGCCATACACCCACACACACATACACACACATACTTTCACGCACAGCGCAACACACACGCCCACACACATATACACACACAAACACATTTACTTTTGTGGCCATATTATTGAGAAACTTGCCCCAATTTTCTTCAATTAGTCGCTTTTAGAAAAAAAAGCATTTAAAATAAAATCTTTAGACAATTCAAACTATTAAATCTATAATATACTTTGTTAAATATTCATTTATTATATTATAACAACGCCGATAATGACGATGACGATAATGTGATGACAAAGACGACGATGAAGAAGAAGATATTAATGATGATGTGACTCACAACTCTCATTTCAGTTACTCTCTCCCTATCCCGGCTACCCTTCCAGACTTTTTGAATTTTCAGAGCACATCTATTCAAATATCTGGAAAAATTGATTGATTGATTATTTAATTGAAATCGATCGATCGAACGATTGATTTAAATTTTTGTGAAGAAGCTGACAATTAAAACAGTGAAACAGAAGGGTAAAAACATTTCTACTTCAAATAAGCTCTGACTTTGATACCACGGAACCAGGCTTGTATCTTGACACATTTGTCGTACTCGTTTTTCCTGTAGTATTCGGCTATCCTGTTTCCAAATTATTGCAAACAAATTATAAGTAGCGATGGGTTTGAAATGTTTCTTTTGACAAAAAATTGTCACAAATATCACAAAAACGTTCTCGGATAAAAAAGCCAGAGCCCCGTCATCTGACGATAGAAAAAAAATTATCCTACATACTGCAATTTTACAGACTGAACAAAATATCTGGAGTTCTGTAGTTAGCTACGGTTAAATCTTTTAAAGGCAAACATGTGCATACAACATGTGGATACAACATGTGGATACAACATGTGCATACAACATGTGGATACAACATGTGCATACAACATGTGCATACAATGTACTTGTATATACGCTAATGTAGGTCCAAACACCTCGTCTCATCCTCCTATATGAACAGTTTTAAACATGAGACGATTCTTTTAGGAAAGTTATTAAAAGCTGTTAGTTTGGCTGTTTCAGTGTTTCGTTCAAGTCTTTTAAACGTTTCATCATCAACCAAATCAAATCTTACTCTCTAAACTTTTCAATTTCATTTTATGTAATTGTGTCTGACTCTTTGTCCCTAAATTTTGCAGGTAACGAGTTACGATCCAGACGTGTTTGTTCCTTTAAAATAACCACTCAAATACAGAAATGACATTCCTATTATAAACATGAACGAAAGAGAACAACGAAAGCTTTCTAACAAAAATTAAAACGTATACCTGACGAGATATAAATTAACAAAAGAAGATGACAAAACTTGCTAACTGAACCCTCTCATAGATCTCATCAATGAACAAATCTTGCGATAACTTCAAATCTATCCAATCCTTCATCTTGCTTCACAATGCTCCCAACGATATTTTGTTTTCAACTAAGGAATATCTACATCGTCATAGCAACTGCTTTGAAAAATAACATTCCTAATCTTTCACGTATAAACTTTTCTGAAAAAAAATCCTGAAAAGTTTCTATGTACCTGCAAATACCTTTCTGGTAATATTAACAAATAAGCGAGCGTTATATTTGGTAATTAAATACATACACATAAAACATTGACACATTCATTTTTTAGGCGTTATATAAAAACTGCTTTGTTATTAATAATATTTTGTCAAAAATGTTAAATATCAAAAGTTTTTTATTTAACCTTAATAAACTTCATCAAAATGATAAAAGTCTCGCGTAGAAAAATTGAGAAACTCAACTACAAGTTGAATAATGCCGAAAACGCAGTGATCTTTATGAATAACACAATTGTATGTAAACCATACCTTAATATTAGTCCTAATTAGTAGAAATGCAGTTGAGATGCTGTTCTTATTTGAAGTTGTTTTCAAATTTTGCTTTAAAGGGTAGAACTCAAAAACACGATAGAAACGATGCTAATTATCTTAAATCGAATTAACACTTTCCACAAATTAATCATTTTAAATCAAAATTTAAAATCAAATGAATCGAAAAGATAAGTTAACTAAAACAAAGTTAACTGCGTATATAAATAGCAATAATAATAATAACAATAATAATAATAATAATAATAATAATATCTTGGTTGATTAGAGGGATCTCAATTCATCTTGTCTCTCTAATGTCTTCATGTATTTCATCAATTCCTTTCAAATTTATTATAAATATTACTTTTAATAAAAATAATATAGTAATAATAATAATATTATTATTATTATTCATTATTATTAATATTCATGATCATCACTTGATCTTTTTGCATCTTCAGGGCATCGATTTCGACTTCTTTGTACTGGATATCCTTGGAAGGATCCTTTACCGATGATGATGATGATGACGATATCATTATATCCTGATAATGATGACGATGATGATGATGGTGACGAAGACGGTAATGATAATGATGACGTTGATTATGGCAATGATAACCTAAGAGAACATACCTCTTGTGGAAAATACTTAGTGTAGGCGTATTTCCATAACTCCATTGGCGTCCTTGTGATGATGATGATTATTCATTAAAATTTATTTATTATTATTGTTTATTTATTATTATTATTATTGTTGTTGTTGTTTACCTGGCCGAGAGTTTACCAACGTCCCCATCTGGTATTGGTGGCATACCTGTTAATTATGTTGTTTTTGGTTCTTATGTTGTTGCTCGAGTTTCGGTGCTCAAAAAGGCATGTTTTAAAAAGTACTATTACTATTGCTGCTGCTATTGTTACTAATACTGCTGCTACTACTACTGCTACTACTACTGCTGCTACTACTATTACTGCTACTACTACTTCTGCTACAACTACTGCTGCTACTACTACTGCTGCTACTATTACTGCTACTACTACTGCTGCTGCTACTACTACTACTGCTACTACTACTGCTGCTACTACTACTGCTACTGCTACTACTACTGCTACAAATAATAATAATAATAAATAACTACCGATATCTTGCATAGTGTCTTGTCCGGCTGTTACACTCAATGGTTTGTTATGAGCCGTCTGTTGTGAGGGACTTAAAATAAATCGTAAATATGACAAAATTATGACGCATTTATGACGTAATGACGACGTAATTGTGATATAATTATGACGTAATTATTAATTGTAATTATCGTCAAATAACCACCCACGCAATTTCGGTGTTGAAAAGTAGATTGCTGATGAGGCCTTTCACCCTCGACACCAAACCTTCGCATTTCATGGTACTGCAGAACTATAATAACATAATAATTACAATAATTATAATAATAATAATGATAATAATAATAATGATAATGATGACATCACTATTACTTTTACTACCTTACTACCACAACAACAACAACTACTACTACTGCTGCTGCTGATACTACAATTTCTGCTATAATAACATATTATCAATAATAATAATAATTATTATTATAATAACTATAATTATACTTAATATCATTATTATTATCTACGTCATAATTAAAATAGAACTAACTTGCAGGTGTGCGCCAATAGTGTGAGCCAGAAATCGTAGCGTCCTACATATGACTTTCCGCTCCTCGCTTTCAAAATTCTTAATGGCGTATTTATGACGTAATTATGACGTAATCATTACACTCTTACTAATAATGGATAATGCAGTAATAATATAAAAAATAATATCGGTGATAAGGTCGAAGTTCTTACTGATTACGAGGATGATGATGATGATAATGATGACGATGATGATGATGATGCTGATGATAAAAATGATGATGATGAAGATGATGATGATAAAAATGATGAAGATGATGATGATGAAGATGATGATGATGATAAAGATGATGGTAATGATAACGACGATGATACTGAATGGATGACAACCTGGAATGTATCGTACTTAGTACAGACAATGGTGATGGGCAGTGGGAATAGATCCAGTAGGTCGAGATCCTGGTACAAGGATGTACGCATACATGTTTGTGTAAAAAATTAACAGTATTGGCATTGGTTATCGTTAAAATAATTGTTATAATAATAATAATAATAATAATAATAATACAGGATGGTCTTCCTTATATTTCATCCTTGCGGCTTCCAGCAATCTTTCTCTAATTCGTCCATTCTTGCCGTCGTCGCCATGTTTGATGACGTCATCAACACGTGACTTCAGAACTCTGAGCCAGTGCTCCAGAACTGTCCACAATCGTTTCGGCTGGCTGAGGTCGACAGTTAGAACGATTCCCGTTGAACTGGATGAATGAAATGATGGATAGACGAATAGGAGATTGGATGAGTGAGTGAGTGAGTGAGTAAATAAATGAATGACTGAATTAATGAAAGAGAATGAATGTTAAGAGATTTATATGAATGAATAGATGCATGGATGGAGGCAAGGTTGATGCGTGAATTTATGAATGATTAGATGAATGAATGGACAACCTGATATTTTTATTATCGATGACAGATTCGATAAGTTTGGACATTAGTACGCCACCCCCGACCTCCCATACGTGCCCAATGTCCTTGCCCTTCAAACAAATTAACATAATACAAACTTTAAAACTATTAGAACAAACTAATCAGCCAATCGGAAACCAGTAAATTTATCGACCAACCAATCAAACAACAGACCAGTCAACTAGCCAACCAATCAATTAAAAGCAAATTTTTCAATCAGCCAATCAACCAGCCAGCCAGCCAACAAACCAACCATAGAATTACTTTTGTTCATCCGAGCGTAGACATACTCAACTCCAACAGTTGGCTTGGCTTGATCATCAGGCCTTTCCAGAAACCTCAAAATGATCGACGTTTTACCCTTCAAAAATGATAAATTTAAATTATAACAAATTAATTATGTCAAATAATAATTAGAATAAAATAATCATATAAATAATAATCATTATTATTAAACGCTTTTAATTTATTAAAACTTGTTTAATGAAGAAGTTTATCTTACTTACAGAACTTTTACCTCCCAGAAATACAACTGATTTTTCGTGTTCATCTTGAAACGAAAAAAATTATAACAATAATATATTATTATTTGTATTATTACTATAATTATATAATAATTATTATTAATATTATAAAATTATTTAAACAACAATTATAAAGTTTGGTTAACTTTTCGTCATGTTTTTTTCTTTAGAGTTCATTCTTTCAACTGCAACATCCCACAAGTTAATGTAATTTCTAGATTTTCTAGAAATGTGTTTAAAATTAATTCAACTAATAACCTTTTTTATAAGAATATTATATCATTTTAATGAAATGAAAAGTTATTTCTAATTTAATACTATATCATTTAAAAAAATTAAGAATTAATTTGTTTGAAAATTTCAGAACAAAGTTAACATTGCGTCAGCGGGCTTGCTGGCTTTCCAGTTTCCTGACGGTTTCAACAACCTACTCGCACTGGCATCATCTTCATCATTGTCATCATTTTTGCTCTTGAATTTGGTGTCAGGTTTTTTATTTGAGGTTCTGCTCTGACGAACATCGTCATCAACATCATAAGCATCATCATCGTCATCGGGTTTTTTACTTTTTCGATATTTTTCATCACCATTTCGGTCACCCTCCTTTAATTTTTTCTGCTGTTTATCGCCATCATCAAATTTTTCTCTAACTAAATCGCCACCGCCCTCTTCATACTCGTTGACCTGTTTTTCTTTCTTTCTTCTTCTTTCCCTCCTTTCATCTTTATCATTGCCATTGTTGTTGTTGTTGTTAGAGTCGTCTTCCATATTTTTCTTCCTCCTCTCTCTTTCTCTTCGTCTTCTCTCCTTCCTGGCCGCCTCATCCTCCCCGTCATTGTCGCCAGCTTCTCCGTCAACGTCACCCCGGTGGTGCTTCGATTTCCTCTTCTTCTTCTTTTCATCTTTGCTGCCGTAGTTATCATCGTCCGACATTTTGAAATTTATTCAACAAGTTTTTGTTTTTTTTTTTATATAAATATGAATTTACACTTAAGTGGTTCATACAATTTTTATTATTTTAATTCTTGATTAAAATCACCAAGAAGTAAATTTGCTTTGTTTATACACGTCGCCATTGGCAACCGCGAGCAAAGAACTACAAACACGACACACTATTAAAATGTTCCAAACTATGCTGCTCTGCTTTTCTTGCAAACTAATTTCCTTAGATGACTATCTTAATTATCAGAGTTGCAGCATGATAAATAAATTCTACAAAATGAATTCAAACAAATTTTTTTCGAAAAACCTAAAAAGAACCAATCTAGACCTCCTCAAACATTTCTTCATTTCACTTATATACAGTACACTAATAAGATACTTCTTATGAATTAATATAACACCTGATGAATACATACAAAAACGCCCATGCATACGTACGATATGCGTATCTAAATGCGTATTTGCACAAACAACGTCAACGCAAATCGGAAACAGACGTGTACAACATGGCGTGTGTGCACGCAATTTACTGTACAACAAATAATGGCTGTGTTGGGCTCTTTGTTTATATGTTTGATGGTATTCGTGTGTGTGCGCGCGTTTGTGTGTGGTGTGAGTGTGTGGGATGTGTGTGCACGTTTGTGTGGGATGTGTGTGTGTGCGATTGCGTGGGACCTTTATTTTACGTGCGTAGCTTTTCAAATTCCATCTAGGGTAAGTACGTAATTTATATGGGAGTAACGCTCACACTGAGTAGACATTCATGATGATTTAACAGTCTCTACTGCACTCTGGGATGTTTATTCAAATTTATCCAGGCTGTCCTCCTCTGATGGAGTTGGATGGGTAGAGTTTGGAAATGTAGGTTGAGTTATTGGAGGAAGATTATGATGAATTCAATCAAAATTACGAAGCACGTGATGGTTCACATAGTATTCCATTGTATTCCTATCTTTATTTTACGGTTGTTTTTACAGTTTAACAAAAAATTTTAACTAATAAATTAACGCCTGACAAAATGTTGTTACATACCATTTATGTACTCAAGTTTGCACGTACTTACGTGTTTGTGTTTGTGTGTGTGTGTGTGCGTGTGTGATAAATAGCAAGATAAATGTAAAATCCGAATAGGACCACGTTGACTTACACCGGCACATACATTGAAGTCAATGCAAATAGCTTTAATCAAAAATTTGTGGTAACAACAACAACAACAACAACAACAACAACATCAGTAACAACAACAACAACGGCAATTTCAACTTCTTCAACTTCAACAACAGCATCAACAACAAGAGCATTCACTAAAATTAGACATACACCAGTCCCCTCCCATGAGACAACAAAAACAACAACAAAATAAGCAGCAGCTTCTACCTACCGGTCGGCCAGACGTGGGCGGTTAAACGCCTCAAAAACCGTTTTATGTCCTCTGCGAACGGTTATTGAAAAGCAATTTGACAGCCTAAATGATGCGTAGGCAAGCATTACGTGTTATGTTAATATGTATGTGTTTGGTGTGTGCGTGCGTGCGTGTGTGTTTGATGTGTGTGCGTGTGGTGTGTGCGTGCGCGTGTATATACGTATGTGTATATGTGTGTACAATATGGGATTGAATGAGAAAAAGATGGATGTAAGAGGAACATTCAGAAAGAATGAATACTAAAGAGAAAGAGAAAGAAAGAGAGAAAGAGAGAGAGAGTGAAAGAAAGAGAGAAAGAGAGAGAAAAAGAGAGAGAAAAGAAAGAGAGAGAGAGATGTAGAAAAAACGAAGTAGTACAATACAGACAAAATTTCAATACTACGGTTTCCTTTTAAAGAATGAGAACGAGACGATGGTGGTAATGATGATTTATTATGATGGTGATAATGATGATAGTGGTGATGATGGTAATGATAATGATGACGATGACGATGATGACGTCATTTCCTGGCAATGCGTCAACTGGCTAGCGTGCGCTTCTACTACGTACATGTTTGGCACGGAACGCGTTATAAAAATAGTAAGAACAATAATAACAACAACAAAAAAGACGAAGTTAATAAAAATATTACTATTAAAGTTTTATAGTTATATAGTAATAGTAATGATAATAAAAATAATAATAATAATACCCAAATATTATTTATTTAATAATAAAATAAAGATTGAAATATGTCAGGCTTGTATGTATTTATATTTGTGCTTGAGGCTTTTTAAAACCAGTCCTATCGAACCATCATCATTTATATTCAGTTTGGAGATTTATTCATTTTTTTTAATTGTATAAATTTAGAAAAATTAATCAAATGGATAAATTTAAGATGTAACAAAACAATGAACAAATTATATAATAAGCAATTATGTTTTTTTTTTTAAAATTTTATATCTGCGAAACAAATCTTTTAAACTGAAAAATTTCAACCTCCAGAAAACATGTCAACCGGAAATTGAACTATTGAAAAAACGAAAAACAAAACAAACAAACAAACAAACAAAAGTGCTCGTTCAAGCTCCATGAAATTCAATATAAAAAACGCATAAAACAAAGCTGAACTGAGGGTGTCTTGCGGGATGGAACAAAAAAACGAAAGAAAAAAGAGAGATATCGACAGAGAGAGAGAGAGAGAGAGAGAGAAAGAGAGAGAGAGAGAGAGAGAGAGATGGTTTAAAAGAGATAAAGAAAAAATATAGAAAGGAGAGAATTCTTAACCTTGTCACAAATTCAGCCCGTGGGTTAGCAACGAAATACAAACAAACACAAAAATTAAACTCGGACATCCAAAACTGAAGGACCATGCTGACGAGCAAGCGTTCAAAAAAATATGAAGATATTCGACATGAATACGCACATAAACAAAAAATGCATACGCACAAACACACATACATGCACATGCATATGGACACATACGTACATGCACATATACATACATACATACAAACATATATACATACATACATACAAACATACATAGATGCCTGCCCAACAGCCAACAAACAAACAGCCTACCATAACATAACGCCTGAACTGACTGAATTACGTCGTGTGAACGCTCTCTTTCCACGCATCCGTCGCATGTACGCGTCGCGTGCACACGCACATTTACACACACACACACACACGGCATACAGCACATATTTAAATTTTGTATTTATCGCAAATGTCATCTTAGATCAATAAGATTGAAATACGGAGGTATGAAATAATTGAGATGCTCTAAGTTAAATTAAATGAATTTAATTCTTGAAAATATCGACATAAAAAGAGAGAGAGAGAGAAATGGTTGAAAAGAGATGAAGAAAAAATTTCGAAGCTCTCGAGTGAATTGCTCACTTCCAGTCTTAATAGCTAGAAATTGAGCTGTGCAGGGATCACAGATGTATAATTATGTGCAACTATACTCACGTGTACAAATCTGATTATATGTACAACTCTAACTATGCGTACAAACAACTCTAATTATGTGTACAGCAAACAAAAATATGGTGTGTACAACATGAACGTGTGCAAGGGAGATTGTTTGCAAGGACAACCATGCCAGGCCAGGCATGTATGTGTGCGTACAACCAGCAAGCACTGAATCTATGAAGGCCTTCGTCTGTTGTAATGAATGGAAGACACAATGAAGAATTATAATTGATTTAAAATAATAATACTACTAATAAAATAATCAAAAAATAATAATAATAAACACAATGACACCATGTTTGATTCGTTTAAAATAATGCCAAGATGGTGCTTCGGTACGCACAAACGTCTTTATAATTAAGCACATATCTAAATAAACATACGTTTCATTGTTATCTGTACACACGTGCGTATATCATATGGATGCTCAATGTACGCATACATATGTCCATGCAAACACGCGTGCACGTCTGTTTTTACGCATGTCTGTAAGCATGTATCTTTGAATGTACGTTTTCTTCTTCAATAATAACATTGTTTATTTATGTGCAATTATGGTGGGGTCTTGTTCATAGATTTTATTGGCTGGATGTTTCCTAACTATTCTCTCTCTTCTCTCTCACTATAATATATATATATATATATATATATATATATATATATATATATATATATTATAGTGGATTAGGACTGTCAAAAATGCAATTATTGATGAAAATCGTTAGTTGGCTTCCTGCTTAATTTTTCGATTTTTCCAACGGTAGATCGCATATCATTGTTAAGTTTCTTGATTTCGCAACCAAAATTTTGGTTTTGACAAAATTGACAAATTTTGGTTTTGAACTCAAAAAACATGAAAATGATTTACGATCCACCGTCAGAAAAGTCGAAAAATTAAACAGGAAGTTGACTACCGCTGAATATATATATATATATATATATATATATATATATATATATATATATATATATATATATATATATATATATATGTTGGTAATAGACCATAATTTTTACAATATTCTACAAATTCTACCGAATGTTTGGCGTTAATATGTTTGTAGTTCGTTTTTTAGATTTTTCTCACTAAAGTTTTTTGGTGAACGTTTAGTT